CTTTATTTATTTATCAGCACAAATACAACATACATACATACATACATACATACATACATACATACATACATACATACATACATACATACATACATTGTCAACACCTTCAAGAAATGAATGGAAGATATTCCACAAATGGAAATGGCTTTGTCTGAAATCAGGACTTGAGTCTATAACTCGTTGGATAATATCTGTATTTTAACTAACAGGTGTACAGGAAGCCCACCATAAGGGTAAGAATATATGTGCAAGCTATCCGCAAGTTAGAGTCTTACCCGTTGTGTGGTTTTGTTTTGTTTTTCCTGTTGTGTTCAGAACTTGATGTGCCTTTGGTGTTTGTTTCTCTTGAGTTCATACATGGTTGTTTTCAAGATGCGGGGCCATCTCGCTATGCAGCATCACAGCTCCTTTGCCATAGAACCGTAGCATGTACATGCCGGTGCTTTCGTGAGCAATAGAAACCAGATTAGGAGTATATTTAACTTTCCTTGGAAAAGCAGGGGGATGACAGGTTTTATCCTATTAATTCTGGCAAAATGGGTCCCAGCTTAACATGCTGCAGACGGCAGAAGGTAATTTTTGCAGCCGTAACGCAGGCAGCGTGTTCGAGTGGTTGGGAGGAAAGTCTAAGGAAAGCCTTAATTTAGTCTGGGTGTCAACAAGAGGCCAATCCATGCCTCCGGTTTACACACGCTTGATTGTCAAACTCTTCGGAGAGGGAGTCTCACTCAGGGCTCTGCAGTAGCCAGTGGCATGGCTCCCCAATGGTTAAAACAGAGTCCTTTGGTCTCCCCAGGGTCCTTGGCAAAAGGCTACAGATTAACAGAGTTGGAAGGGGCCTTGTGGGTCATCTAGTCCAACCCCCAACGTTTCGCTACTCATCCAAGAAGCTTCTTTGGTTCCGAGGAAGCTTCTCGGATGGGAAGTGAAACATTTTCAAGGCAAAAGGTCCCGTTTCCTTTTGAAAAAGCCCCTTGGGGACAACCGTGGCCTGCATGATGGAGAATCTCCGTAGAGATTCATTCGGGGATGATTATTTTTTTCTTTTTGCTCTGCTATCCTTTCCCCCAAAGTGCTCTCTTTTCCTCTTTCAAATGATCAAATAGACAAGCAAGAAATGTATAAAAAGAAAATAAAACCAACTTGGACAGTTTTCTGTCTCCTTCCCTGCTTTATAATGAGACCTTTAACCATATAATAAGTATGATGCCTATAGCGAACCTTAAAATAAAATATCAAGATGAAAAAACCCTGCCAGGAAAACGTGGCTTTAAGTTTTTTTTATTTGTGAAAGGTGAGGATTTTATTTTCAGTTAAATATTGCATTTTCCCCCTTGTCTCCCTATCTGATTGCTCAGCGTTCAGCCAAACCTTTCCAGCTGCTTCTTATTTTTGTGTGCGCCAGATCTTCTACTATATTCTATACCCTTCATCTGTGACAGACGAGACTTAAGGCGCAAAAGTTTCAGTTCTGCTCCTTGAAATAGTATTCTATAAAGTGCAATCTACCGTAATCTTCTGAAGGTTGGCTGCTGATGGTTTGAAGGTCAATTGAACCCTGAAAGGGACCGAGATGGGAAGAGCTAGGGAATGTAACCAGTCCTTCAGCTCCAGAACGAAACGTGGGGAGGTAGGTGGGCAGTCAAAGGTGGGCAGAATAAGGAGACGGAGAGAGAGAGGTGTGCTCAAAAAGACCACCCTTTCTGCAACTGTAGAGCAGGCCTCTCCAAATTTGGCAACTTTAGGTCTTATGGATTTCAACTACCAGAATTCCTGTTCTGTCCAAACTCCAAATGTTTGGAGACCCCTGCTCTACGGGAATCCTTTCAAAACTCTCTGCACCATATTGGCTCTGAGACCTTAGCACGACGAAGACTTGTGGACTTCACTTCCCAGAATTCCCACGGAGGCTGGGGAATGCTGGCAGTTGAAATCCACAAGGCTTAAAAGTTGCCAAGATTGGGGATATCAGTTGACCCGGACGTTCTCAGAGGTATGTGAGGAAGACCAACGTAGCATCATTCTATGCCTTGCCCAACTCTCGGAGCAGATCCTGTCTACCTGCCCAACCATTTCCAAGTGACACTTTAATCAGGTGATTGGAGCCGGGTGCCGTCAAACCCTGGCATGGCACATTTCCCTGACTCTCACCTAAATCTCCCTTTGGGCTAATGAGCAGATTCCAGACACTTTCGTTGCATTCTTAGCAAAAACGATCCTTTTCATGGAAGCCGCGAGGGAAGGGAAACGCCATTGTTTGATCTTCCGATTGTTGCATGGAATGTTTCTGCTACCAAGATGTGCTGCCGATCAGTTTCCTTCTGTCGTTTTTTTTTAAAGCATGCTGGCTGCTTTTATCCTCTGCATTTTGCCTTTTTCATATTTTGAGAGGTTAAAAGATTTCTCGTGTCGAAAAGGACCAGGGCGTACTTGGTGTTCTGGGAGATTTAAGGCTTTTCTCTTCGAAGGATAGAAACGCATGCGCTCCTGTTCCTTCCTTTCCTTTTGTTGCATTTTTCCCGTTTTAACCAAAGCGGCCAGTTTCGTAGGTGCAACCTGGAGACTTTTAATGTGTCCGATTAGGGGAAAGGTATGAAAAAAGCTGATGTTGAGGTTGAAGTATCTTCTGTCTCTTTTTTGCAAATAAAAATAAAAATGAAAAACAAGAGAATTCTGTCCTTTCACCTTGTTCTGTGCATGTTTTTCCCCACTCCTCTTCCTTC